TTTTTGATTACTCACACTTCTCTTTCCTTCAGCGCACTGGGATCTTTCTTTTCTTTCTTTTTTGGTTTTAATCTATCCTTTTCTTTACTAGGGAAAAAAAAGTAAAATAAATCCAGGGGAGAAGAAAAAAACACTGCAGTTATAATCTCATTCAGAAATCAAGAGATCCATTTTTTTGTCTACAGAAGAAATCCTAGTTTGTGACTTCTTTATGTTAATATCAGTATACAATTTCTGAGCAGATAACTATAGTGAGAAGTAGGCTGGAAGTATAATTAATCAGTAAAAAGAGTAATCAGTAAAAATTGTTAAGGGGTAAATAAATGTTGATTATACAGTCATTTCTTTCTTAGTCAGACTCTCTCATATAAATGATCAAAAACCACTTCCAAGCAGTGGGAAAATAAGCTGATTATTTATCTTCCAAAGGCTCTAACAGTAGGGGGAGAAAGGGTTCCCCGTTACACCTCTCATAAAGGGCTAAAATGTAACAATGCATATACAAAACTTAACCCTTACCTAGGAAGAAAATATTGTCCACGGGGTGTCATTCCTAAAAATTACACAATAAATCCACACTAAAGGCTTCAGAAGAATTCTGAAGGCTCTAATGGCCATTCTTTCATTCTGAGACTCTTAAAGGACAATGAAGACCAGTCCTTATTTAATGACTTCATCCATTCTTCACACTAAAGCAGAGAACCTGTTTAGGGCTTCTTTATAATAGGGAACATCACTCCACTTTCTTCCACAGTGATTTGGGTTTTTACAAGATTTATAAAATGGAGACATATGGGAATTTTCCCATTCTCTCCCGAAAAATATTTGAGTGTTAGGTGCTGGAGACACAAGATAGACACGGTCTCTGACCTCGCCATCTTTCAACAATAACAAAGATTTTTTTGTCTGGGGGATGTACTAGTGTAACATAACAAAACTGTCATGAGGTTTAAAAGTGATACGGTAGATAAAGCAGATAACGACGGTGGAACAAAGTGAACACTCAGGACATGTTTAATCCCCTTCGCCTTTCCCAGTGTAACCGCTCAGCAGCTAAGTGGCAGTTACACACTTGACTACTGTCCCATGCTGTGTAAATCTAAGACACAATAATATTAAAAGCAGAAACAAAATAACAACAAAAGCTTTTACTACTTATCCCCTCATGACTCATATATCTCTGGGCAGTCTAAGAACCTAATTGATTCCGGACACTCACAGCCTCTGATCTCTCAGACTAAGCATTCGCTTCATGGTCGCATACTTCCTCGTTTTCTTTTGCTTCCCCTTGAAACAGAAATTTTAGAGTTAAAAGAGTTGGAAATACATTGCATCTTTTTAAGTTCCTTCTTTTCTCTTGTCCATTCCCTTCCCTTCTCCCCTCAAATACCCAGCCCCTCTCCCCACTTCCTAAAGCATAAAGGGCACCGCTCGGAGCAGTGTAAGAGCTAAAATCAGAAGGAAAATAAGCAACGGGAATATGAAGGATTTTTGGTCAAGGGCTGACTCCTAAAAAGAGGTCTGACAAAATCTCTTCTCGAACCCTACTCTCACCATGCTCATGCCACACTCCGGCTCTTCCGGAATCACCAACAGCCCTTCGTTTTTGCGTCATCCACATACTGCTTCCGGCAAAGAATAGCCCGGAAGCGGAAGCTACTTCGAGAAACGGAAAAGCCCGGAGCCGGCTCCCAGCCCGGGCAGAGACTAATGCTGGGGTCGCTTGGGGAGAGGGTTGAGAGCCGGTCTTATGCTGGGTGCTGCCGCCACCTTCCAGGGTAGCAGAGCTGGGACTTCACCGCGCTGCAATCCCCAGCTCGGGTAACGTTTCTCTCCAGCCCGAGGCAAAGCCCAGAAGACCTGCCTGCCCTAGAGATGCAGAGAGGGAGGGCAAGGGTAGCGGGGTCGGAATCTTGGGTTGCCCAGTAGTTTGGGGGAACACATTCTCTTTATCTCCCAGCGCTGGGGCATCAGCTCTCTACCGTCCAACCCTTAGGCTCTGGTTCCTGCTTGGTTCCCCTAGCAGGCAGGCATGGTGCTTCGTGCAGCTAAGTGGACGGTTCTCCACGAGTTAATACCGTGTAGTGGTCTCGGTGAAGAGAGGCATGAAGCAGCGCTTGATGGCCTTCTTTAGACTGTCGCTACAATATTGGGGCATAAGCTTGCGAATGTTACTCCTTACCAAGCCAAGAAAATGGTGGGAAACAATTGGTATTTATTGTGAAGGATTGGTGTGTCATCCTTAAGGGAAAGGGAGAATCTATGAGAA